CCCCCCCCCCCCCCCCCAGAATTTGAAGTTAATATTGTTGTCCTCCTGCATGACGATCATCTCATCACAGAGAATTTTCCACTGAAGCTCTGCCGGATGTAAATTCTCCGAAGAGATTCACTTAAGGATTAACCGAGGCAGGAGGAAATTCTGCAGAGATCAAATGGAATCCGGTTCACATCTTTAAACTGTGTTCTGACTGGAGAAGAAAATGTTTCCTTGTGGCACTTCTGACATCTGTCAGGAGGAGTCTGATTCTCTGTAAGCCTTACCTAACCCTTTGACAGTACTGTTTGTGACTTCCTTTCTGCTCAGATTCATGCCCAGGTACAGCTGTTTGAATTCAACAGTCTTACCCCTCTTCTCTTCCAGGCACCCATAAGGGATGCTTTTGCACATTCATAGGTGCATAGTGCAGGAAGTTTCTCTGCTTATTTCACAATTTAGCACTTGTACTAAATGCTTAAATGTTTCCTTTTTAAGGATTCTTGCCACTAAAGTTTCTGCTTGTATATTGATTCTGGGCGAAGAGAGGGTGAGAGACGCTTGGAGTTTTCTAAACATTCCATCATCTGGATGTGGGCAAAATGAATGTTCATAAAACGTTTTGAAACCTAATAAATGGTGCTACAGAACTGCAAGATGGTGTTACAGGATGAGTATTCCACAAGGAGTACAAATCATGACAGGATCCAATGAGGGAGAGTGGGATTAGGAAGTGAGTGTTAGTCTGGAAACTGCCTCAAAACTAAAGGGCTCTACTGCTACAGCTGTTTCACTCTAATTAGCTGGGTCACTTCTTTATGTAAGCTCCACTGCACAAAGAGGACCATGCTATCAAAGAAAGTTCTGGTACAGGTTTGGAATAGAATTCTTGCCCTTGATTTTACCTATTTTATATTTTATTTCCTGCCCTGATCCACCTGACTGCTTTATCTACATTGTAGTTTTGGTGCAGAATTATGACCTGTAATCTGCTGTCATGGGAACAACCACATCAAACTGGTGCTATGCTTGGCTGCTACAATCAGAAGTAATTCCTTCCTGTGATTGGTTTTATTGCAAGGCAGAGAGAATACTGTGTGAAAGACTGAACGCATGTGCTTACACTTCAGCAACTGACATAGCTCCTTTTGGGTGCAATATGGCACATTATGGATACTTTAAACTCTGTAGGGGCAGAGTTTCCAGGTGCCCCGTTTTTTCATTGGAAGATTTAATGGCAAAGTTTTACTGAAAATGTCAAGACAACATTGTGTGGGGGCAGGGATCAGTGACTAGGAAAATTGCCTGTATATATATAATGGGGGGGAAGCGTTTGATGTGGGAGTTTAATAATTTTGATGGTGTTAAAAAGAATGAAAAGCAGCAACACATTCTTCTTCTGAATGCAAATAAAGCTCCCAGGGGAGCAGGCTGTACTGCACACAACAAGAAAATTGGGTATCTAGTTGTTTCCTTCTTGAAGTAAAGATATTTGACAAAAACATTTAGTTTTACCCATCCCTTCAACCAAAAGGAAAACACCAAAAGATGGGAAATTCTGACGTGACAAAGTAAGCTGCTGCTGTTTGCTTGTCTTCAAGACTAACATGGCTTACTGCCTCTAACAGTAAAACTGACATTATCTCCTGTATTTTAGGAATAAACAACTGAAATTGTAAACACCTAATGTAAAGCTTTCAGAGTGGTATTGTGCTGATGCTGTAAAAATTGTATCAACCTCCCCTTAGTAAGCCAGGGAGCACATTCGTGTGTGCTTAGGATACAGAACAGGATCATCCTACAGTGCCATCTACTGCCGAAAGCCAACATTGCCCTGTGAATTCACTAGTTAATGAAAATCTAAAAAAATGACTGTGAATCCTGCCTTCTCATTTAGGAATACTGGTACTGTGTCCTTCTGCTGGCTACAGTATAAGTAGCTGATCTGCCACTGACAGTATGCTGCTACATCAGTCTGGATCGTTCCTTTGCACTGCTTTTGACCCCTCTGGGAGGCTGAGACACAAACTACAAAGATCACCATACTTACGTCAAGAGAGTCATGCAGGAAAAGCAAGAGTGTACCAAAAATTGTACCTGATTGCTACAACAAAAGCACATTTTCAGGTTAACAGTATATCAATCTTATATTCGTATTCATCAATTTTCTAATCTCTAGGTAATGTGAGTGGTCTTCTACCCCTGCCCCTCCCCCCCACATACACTTTTTTTTTTTTTAATCCCAGGACCTTTGCTGAAAAGGAGAAAAGGGCTATTCCTCCAGAAACTGCCCTGTGTTTTAGTGGGAGTTGGAGAAGCACGATTATACGTAAAACATTCTGTATGTTGTCCTTAGTGTAAGAGACTTAGACCTGTTCAGACATTGCTTGGTGTTAGCGCTAGTTTGAGTTTGGAGTGGTTGCACTCTTAAGACTTAAAAACCTTCTCTGTCCTCCGCTTGCACAACTGTGACTTGCCACTAGAGGGTCTAACTAGAAGCTGCAGCTGTGAGTTGCCACTACAGGCCTGGTGAAAACAGGACCGGCTTCTATCCCTGTTCTAGATGGGGTATGAGAGGTGGGGCTGAGGGGGTGAGTTAATCGGATGGGGGTGGGTCATGAAATGAGTGGTGGGAAGGAAGTGGGATGGGGGAAGGATGGAGCCAGTTTCTGAAACTCAAAGGCTCAGCTCAAACTCACACCAGCTGGAGTTTGACAAAGTTCCTTCTACCTAGCAGCATTGTGCTAAGAAGTGCATAGCTTCAATGTACTGACCCCTCAACTCCAAGAAAGTGACTGACCCTCCAGAGAGAGAAAGCCACAGCCCCACATTAGATGCCTAGGCTCCCTATACAGGTCTTGGGAAGAGTTAGGTGCCTCAGAGAGGGATTCAAACTAGCAAGTAAGCTGAGCAAGTAATTTGGAAATGCAAAGGACACGGGTTTACTTGAACTCCCACTATTCTCCAGTGTTTACCTGAGTCTGGACCACTCTATACCAGTGGCAGGAGGTCCCAGCAAGGACAGACTGAGCATGTCCTGCCTGCCTGCATCTGCAGGAACACTTCAGACCTGGAAATACCAGGGAGGTCGTTCCAGGCAATCCTACTTCTGCCAAAGTAGGTTTTGAGCAGCTGATCTCCAGCAGGGGGATCTTGAGTGGTTGAAGTACAAGAGCTTGCTTTTGAGCAATTGATCTTTAGTAAGCCACAGAGTGACCCTGGCAAACTTCTTGGTCTGGAGTGCATTGGTAGGGCATGGTCAAACCTGTGGCCTCTAAGACCCAGTGCTGCTATGGTGTAGACATGCCCTCCTAATCCACAGCTTGAAATCCTCTCCTCAGGGGAGGTGACTATTCTTTGAAAGAGCTGAGCAGAGCTTGGGGGGAGGGGAGAAAGGTGGTGGTATCTTCCTCTTACATGGTAACTTAGTTGTCAAACCTGTATCTCCCTCCTTCCAGGAGAGTGCCCTAGCCACCAGGGTGTAGGCTAAGCTCGAATGGGACATCTTTACCCATCCTGTTGAAGTTGTGTCCTTGTACAGAAAAGAATGCAAGATTCACAGGCCCCATAAGGGAATATAAGAGAGAACCTAGTGCAGCCTACTGGTTAAGGCACTCACCTGGCACGTGGGGAGTCCTTTGGACTCCTTTGCTTTACCCCTAGGACTTTTCTTCCTCCTATGTCAGAACTGTCTTAGAGAACCTTGGACAGTTTGCTAGTTTTGAGAACTTACTAAGTATTCCTAATACATCAGTCATCAATAGTCACATCTAGGGATGTTTCCGGGTAAGTCTGGGAAATTATGCAGATTTCTTAGTTTATAAAACAAAAATGGTGTTGCCTGTCAAGGGGTGTTATGTTTTTTTGTTTGTACAGCAAAGCAGAAAAGTAACTTAAAATAATACACAATCACATTTTTAAATATAGGCTTGCCACTGAGTTGGTGTAAATGCCTCTGATGACATCCCACAGAAAGAAAAGAATGAATTCAGTTCTCTTTCCTCCTACATTTCTCACATGGATTTCCGATGGACTAAATTGCCTTTTCAGGAAGTAACAAAATCTGAAATGTCGTGTGAGCTCAGAGAAATTATTTACAGTGACTCACCGAGAGCAGGACCCCATGGGTACAGATTTTCTGGCAGTGAGGTGATGCTGGGAGACTTGGTTGCTGTACTAACTTCTGTTGGCATAGACTGGAAACACTTCCAGGCGTGACAGTTCCCTGAGTGGAATTTCAGATGCGTGTCAGGAATCAGGAAGCAATGTTCTGGCAGGGGAGAGCTGCAGCTTCTTTCTTTGGAACTGGATGGGAGAAAAAGTCATGAAATAAAGAATAGTTAAAATGCTTGTAATGGCCAGGTGGCTGCTAATGTGAGCTTTAACTTGCTAATTAATGCTAATGTGGCCTTTCTTGGAGAACATAGCCAGGCTGTGACCAGGTTCACGGGGAAGCAGTGAGGAAAGATTGGTCAAGACTTAAGTGAATGACCTCTGCACAATTTGTTAGTCACCTTGGGAGTTAGCAGCAGGAGAATTGCAGGAAGAAGAGCTGCACATCTTGCACGTGCTGCAGCACTGGAGCCCCGAGAAGGAAGAGGCAGCTGGATGTGGTGGTCAGGGAAACCAGCAGATGGGGAAATGGATCTTCAGAGAGACTGTCCTCCACTGGAGCATGGTGAATGGGTCTAAGTCCTGAGAAGAAACTTCTGTTGACAAATTCTGGTAAACCCACTCTGGAATTGAAACCACTGCATGGCACCAGCCATTCTAGCTACTGGAGTAGAATCATAGAAGAAGTCATAGAAGAATCATAGAAGTAGTACGGTCGGAAGGGACCTTATAGATCTTCAAGTCCGACCCCCTGCCAGGGCAGGAGAAAAAACTGGGTTTAAATGATCCCAGCTATGTAGGCATCAAGCCTCCTCTTAAAGACCCCCAGGGTAGGAGCCAGCACCACTTCCCTTGGAAGTTGGTTCCAGATCCTAGCCGCCCTAACTGTGGAGTAGTTCTTACAGATGTCTAATCTAAACCTCTCCAACAACTTGTGGCCATTATTCCTTGTTATGCCAGGGGGCGCTAGGGGAAACAAGGTCTCTCCCAAACCCTTCTGGTCCCCCCTAGTGAGATTATAGATGGTCACCAGGTCCCCCCTCAGCCTTCTCTTGTGAAGGCTGAACAGGTTCAGGTCCCACAGTCTCTTATTGTAGGGTCTGCCCTGTTGTCCCCGGATCATG